CTGGGAAGGAGGTGAGAGGAAAACAGGAAGTACTGGGGATTGAATTGGGGCAATTATATTCCATGCTTGTCGTGTCAAAACGAACACTGATACCGCATGTCACGATGACGTACTCATAAAAAGGGAAATTAAAAAAATGTTAACTTTCAACTAAATTAAATGGTATGGGCCCCCAAATTTCATTCTTCTTATTACTAGATCTATGTTACAAAAATCACCTGTGATCAATAATGTATTATACTTTAATTTCTGTCAATGAAACAATGAAGACATTAAAAGAAAAAAAATGGAGCGTCTTTGGTGGAGAAGGATGAAGGTACCTGCAGTGGCTGCCGCTGCTGGGTAGGAAACTTGAGACAAGCTGAGAGCTTGTTCAACCAGGAAGGTGAGAGAGCCTCAGAATCGGGTTTCACCAGAGAGACAGGAAGTAGAGATGTCGAGAGAGACGACAGGAGCTGACTGCACAGACGGCTCTAAGTGAGGGGCCCTCCTCACTGCAGTGTCCTTACTTAGGGCACCCATGCTCATCCTGTGAGGCTGTGCTGCCTCCTACCTGCTCCCACATCAGCAGCCCTGGGGATGGTGAGCTCCTGCTCCTCCTTCTCTGGGTGATGAGGGTCAGCTCAGCCCTGATAAAGGATAGGAGGAGGCGTCAGGTGTGGTGCTCTTCAAGGTCCAGGTGAAGACTCTCATTCCTGGCAGTGCTGAGCTGTGGGTGAGAGGATCACGGGGCATATTTACTATTTCCAGGGCCTGGGAGGTTGAATTCTCAGGAATGCTCATTAAATTAATTGTTGCATTGTTATCTATTCTCAGAGCAATTGAGTTTCCATGAGTGAAAACAAAAAAAAAAACAAAAAAAACTAGAAAGGTAATTGTGCATGTAGCCAGTTTTGCATCACGTTTTTTTTTTTTCTCTCCCAAATATGTACATTCCTTCCCCTGGGGCACTTGGCTCATGGTGTGCTTTCTCCCTGGACTTGATCTCAACTGATCCTTGGCTTTCCCCATGAGCTTTTCCTCAGTAAGTGATACAGAGTTTCCTTGTCTACACAGACAAGTGCAGACACCCTTTCCAAGCCCATGTGAGTCCTGAGCACCTTCACTGAGGGCTGTGGACAGGACCACCCTCCAACCACATGTGTTCCAAGATGTTGTCCTGGCATTTGTCCTCACTATTGAAGGTGCAGTGTAGACAGAGCATCAGGTGTGTAGTTACAGAGGTGTGTGGTGAGAGGTGGGCTGACTGTACAGGCAGGAGTCTGCACAGGTGTCTAGGCTTTCCAGGTTCAGAGCAAGCTGAATACATGGCCTGAATATTCCAGTCCAGAGAGGAAGGACCAGCCTCACAATTCACAAAGCACTGATTTTTATGCTCCTAAATCAAGAATAATGAAAATGATTCCAGAAAATAACAGTGGGACCCAGACCATTTCTTTTGGGCTTGATGGAGTAGCCAACAGGGTTAGAAGGGAAGATCTCCCAGGTGGCAGGACTCACCTGATCCGTACCATATTCCTGGATTCATTCCCCATCCTTCCCCCTCAGGAATGACACCCTTCTGTGCTCACAATTGGCACAAAGTCATCAGGCCTATGGAAGTGTATTATAGGAAGGGCTGTGTGAAATCAAATTTTGGGTCCCTTGGAAATAAAAAGGGAGCATACGCAGAATGCAACGTGTCCTTGGATCCTTGGAAGTAGAAGAGAGGCAGAAAAGTCAGTGCCTGAGTGATGCGATGTGTGGGGTTTCACTCAGCCATTGCTGCATTTGAATGGGGATGCAGAGCCCAGGCACCCAGGCATGTGGGCAGCCTCTAGAAGTTGGAAAATATAAGGAAAGGGATTCATCCTCCTCAGATCCTCTGAAGGCTCACAGACCTGCAGAAACCTTCATTTTATCCCATAAGTCCAGTTTGCACTCTGACCTCCTGGACTGTAGGACCATCCATTGGTGTTCAGTTTAATCTCTGAAGTTTGCTGAAATTGGTTCCATCCGCAATAGGAGAGGAGGACACATCGTAACCCTGACCTTTATGTTTCAGGCTGGGTCTGTCCCCACTACAAACTAACTCTGCTCTTAAGAAGCTGAGCATACATATTGAAAAGGCAACTTGGCCATGTTTTTCCCTCACAAAGAATAACTGGGAAAGATAATTTTAAAAAAGAGGAGTACATAGAGAACACTTGTCCTTCTCTTTATGAAAATCTGAATGAAAGCTCTACTCGCCCGGGCGGTGTGGACTTGGTTTAAATCTGAATAGAAACATCAATGCAGCAGAACAATAAAATACAAACTTAATAAAATGAGAAGTTACATAAGTGGCATCAAATATCAATGTAGAATCAGGTAGACCAGGGCCTAGTGGCTGATCCAGAGATCTCTGTGGACCAGTCAGTGAATGGCTTGTTAGTTGGCACTACAGGAGTCATGTTACAGAGACCCAGAGTGTCATGAGAGTCCCCTTCAATGTCACCATTGCTATTCTAAAGCACACTAGTTAAATCCAAAGGACTTCAGTGGGCTCACTGGCACAGATGCCCATGTGGCTGAATGTATGTGCTGTTCTTTGAGTTTTGATCCTAACTCTGCCCCTGGGGTTGCAAGAGTTTGACTGTGCAAAGCAGAGGTCCCCTGGTTGTGACAAGTCTTACAGAGGAGATGAAGAAACTTGCAAAATAAGCCTGGTACTGGGGCCACACACTGAGAAGCAGAGGGGAAGTTAGCCAATGTTCCAGATGGTTCCTTTCTTGTTCGGGATAGTTCCATTGACTGTTATCTTCTAAGCATGAGCTTTCCTTCCCATGGAAAAACACTACCAACTAGAATGGAGCACTCCAATGGTAGGTTTATGAACAATCAGATGTGGAAGGACATGTGTCCATAATTGATCTAATGCAGCATCCAGTCAGGGACTCTGAAAATGGAGCTTTTTGTTATTGAACACTTCAGTGCCTGGATCTGCAACGTATCCCTTCAGACTGACCAATCAATCCAGTGTCGAGGTTCAGGCAGGTCCTTCTCTGCAGTACCTGTGTCTCTCATTATACCTCTGTCTACAAGGATAGACCTAATTCAGAAACGACTTTGACAAACAAAATGAAGAACTATTTCTAGGAGAAGCACTACTGAAAGATTGAGATCCTGAATTTTGCACTTTGTGAATAAGAAAAAGAGACTGAAACACAATTTATTATCCGTTTGTTTAGGATTCGGGAAGTGTCTCAAGGTATCTTGTGTTTATTTTGGTTCTTAAAAGGTATGTCTTGAGGTTCTAGAAGTGGAAATTATCTTTCATTAGTGTGCAGAAAAATCACAGTGTGAATTATCAGATTCTCCCTGATGCCCTCCCCCAGTTCTTTACTGTCATTTTTATTCATGAAAGGCACACTTCATGTATCTTCAACCCTGAGTGAATGAATGAAGCTCACAGATGGAAAATTGCTTTGTCTTTTAAAATGATCCAATTTCAGAAGTCAGTGTTGAATGAACATGTGAAAAAACAATTTACAGATACACCGAAAAGACTTTTAAATATCATAGTTTAAAAAGATTCATTGAGAATTAGGAATGAACTTCATAATAGTTAATGGGATGCAAATCTGACACACATCTTTTATAACAATCTTTTCTAAATTATTTTTGGTTGTGTTATTATAACAATGCAACAGATTAATACATCAAATAAAAGAGACACTGGGAAATCTAGTGATGGGATGTTTATAAAACATGGAAATAGTGCTGGCACCTGCTGAGGGTTGTTGTTATTAATATCAGCATTAGTAACTCTGAATTTCTTTTCCAGCTCAAAATCTTTTATTCAATTTATAACTTTGCATTTTCTCTTCCAGATTCTATTTTACATTGAACCATCTGCCGAGCTAGTTTTCACTCCATTTGACAGATATTCACTGAGTAAAAATGCTTTTCCACAACAGGATGAGGCATTGTGGCTGTGAAAGAGCCAGTTCTCAAATTCAAGGAATCTGTACAGAGGGTGAGTAGAAAAATTCCACAGTCAGTGTGATGGGAAGCACAGTAGGAATGATTTAAAGGGGAAAACATTGAGTTAATTCATTCAGACCACCTCAGGAAATGTTCCTGTAAATGAGTTTTCAGGACAGCATTTGCACAATTTACACACCCTATTCTGAGGATATATGTCAATCCAAAGGACCAGAGCAAAGGCTGCAAGTTCTTGTTCATATGCAGAAGGGGATGAATTTGATGTCCCAGAAGGCGAGAGTACAAAAGTGGTCCCTGGAAATCAGGCAGGGTGAGGAGGAGGTTAGTTTCAGGGTGTGAAGCCCAGTTTTACAAGAGAAATGATTTCTAAAGTTGTACAGCAAGTAGAGTGCATGGGCTCTCTCTTGTTCAGCAGGGAGGTCCACAGAACAGGGTAGAGGAGAGTGTGGCTGTGGAGTTGCTATTCAAGACCTCCGGAGATCAAGCAGGAAGCAGGTGGATTTAACTGCCCAGTTACCATGTATATATGCTGGGGAAGTAGCCAGGCAGGTTACAGGCAGCCACCCATGCAATTTCTTGCTAACTGTCCTTATAGCGACCAACCGAGGGACAGGCTGTGGAGCAAGTGCAGGGACTGCAATACATGGCCTCACACCCAGGGCTGTGCCTACAGGGTAAGCAGTCTGCCACTCACATGCCTAGTGTGAGGGGTGTGGCCTGCCACTCTGGCGCCCTTAACATATGCCATGTATGCAGTACTCCATGACCTTGTCCCCAGAGTAGAGGACAATAGTTCATAACAATTGATTATGTAATTTTGTAAAACTAGAAGAGCATGAAGTATGCCAGTGATAAGAAATAATAAACATTCCAGGAGATGGAAATACTGATTACTTTGATTTTATCACTACATGTAGCATGCATGCATTGAGATATAACATGGTGCTCCATCAACAAATGCCAGTATTTTGTATCAATAAAAATACAAATACCCACACCTCAGTGTTGGGTAATCACAAATTAAAAATCCCATTTGTATTCAAACAAAATTACAATGACTGGTTAGATAGTGCATAGGTGATCCAAAATGTTGCAATAGGAACAGTCCCTAAGTAGGAACAAACCCTAAGATGATGACAAAGCCATGAAAATATGCTCATCTTCACTAACAATCCAAGGCAGTGCTGTGGATTAGGTATGTGGTATTCCCATAGTTCAGATGTAGACAAGGCAAGAACATTCAGAGGTGAACTGATTAGATCATGGAGCTTTAGATTAATTGCTGGATTAATCCACTAAAATGTATTAATGAGGTACCCTAAAATACACCAAGCATAGGTAGGCAGAGTCTTACATGGAGGTTTGGGGCTCCAGGGTCTTCAGTATGATGGACATTATGATTCAGGAGAGCCGTGCATCCACCCTTTCACTGAGAGGCACCATCTTGGTGAGGACTCTTCCCAGGGCCACTTTGATGTCCCTGTTCCTCAGACTGTAGATGAATGGATTCATCATGGGGGTGACCATAGTGTACATCACTGAGGCCATCAGATTAATCGTAGAAGACTGTGTGGCTACAGAACTGAGGTAGACCCCAAGGCTACTGCCATAGAACAAGGAGACCACCAGGAGGTGAGACCCACAGGTGGAGAAGGCTTTGTACTTGCCTCTGTCTGATGAGATCCTTAGGATGGAGGAGAAAATCTGAGAGTAGGAGAAGAGGATTCCAGTGAGAGGGAAGACACCCAGGACGATGATCATAGAGAACACCACAATGTTATTAATGAGTATGTCAGAGCAGGTGAGCTTCAGGATTTCAGGAAGATCACAGAAGAAGTGAGGGATTTCTATTTTTGTGCAAAAGGACAGCCTCAATATTGTCAAGGTATCTGGGAGGGAGCCTAGGACACTGACCATCCAGGACCCCAGAGCCATGAGCAGACAGAGCCGTGGGCTCATAATGGCCACATAGTGCAGGGGGTGACAGATGGCCACAAAGCGGTCATAGGCCATCACTGTCAGGAGCAAATTGTCCTGGCATCCAAACAAAACGAAAAAATATACTTGTGAGACGCAGCCTGCAAAGGTGATCCCTTTGCTGTGAGTGTGGATATTCCTGAGGGCCTTGGGGATGGTGGTGGAGGTGAAGCCAATGTCAGCCAGGGACAGGTTGGAGAGGAAGAAGTACATGGGCGTGTGCAGGTGGGAGTCTGAGATGACAGCCAGGATGATGAGCAGGTTTCCTGTGACTGTGACCAGGTACCCAGACAGAAGCAGGCCAAGGAGGAGGGACTGCAGGTCCGGGTCATCTGTGAATCCCAGGAGGATGAAGTTTCCAGTTCCTGTTTGGTTTCCTCTTTCCATGGTGCTGGTGTGTTTGCTCTGAGGAGGGAGAGAAGGAACTCTAAATTCCCTCCAGCTAGGGAGGCTGAGGCAGGAAGACTGCAAGTTGAAAGCCAGGCTCAGTATCTTAGTGAGATCCTATCTTAAAATAAAAAATAAAAAGAGGGCCTGGGCATGTAGCTCAGTGCTTAAGTGCCCCTGGATTCCATCCCTGGTACCCTCTCTCCACCCCACCCAGTTCTCTCTCCCCCAAATAAGAATTTCAAATAGAGATTCCCCAGGATACCCCAATGTCTTTTATTGAAATTTTGTGAACTCAATAAATTATTTATTTTATCTTGTCATTTGTCCTCCTGGCTGACAAATTTCAGATACCATTTGTATACCCGCAAAGAAACAAATCAAAACATGGTTCTATGTCAGTGCTTCTCAAATGGTGTTCCCAGGAGTACCCACCTGGGCATCACCTGGAATCTTGCTGAAATGTGCATTCTCATGCACACCTCACCTGACCACCTGAACCTCCTGCTGTAGGTGTGAAGCTGCCCTCTGTGTCTTGAGAAGCCCTGTCAGGATTCGGAGGCTCACTCCTGCTTAGGAACCAGGGCTCTGGACCTTGTCTGCATCCCCACCCAATCCTCGTTCCCCAGGTGCTCTGCTGCGTTCTGCCTCATGCTCATGGGAATGAGCATCTCCTAGTTCCAGGCAGGTTGCTCTGCCATGTAAAAGCTCTCTATGTTACTGTGGTTCTTCTCTCTGATTTCCTCAAGTCCTATCCTGTGGACCTGTGTGGTCTTTTTGCTAGAAATATCAGCATCTTCTGGTATTATTATTAATTCTATTTCGTTTTAATTTCCATTTTAACCAAACATATTGAAGAAACATGGAATTTCTAAGTTTAGAAATCTTAAGAATTTCTAAATGTAGGCATGAGTCTTACACACATTTTAAAAAAAATCACATGAAAATATTCCATCATGGCGAAATGGCTCTTCAAATCTTGCCCATTCTGGACATTTGGTTTTCTTTATGAGTGAGATTGTTAATGTTAATTTTAAGTTTATACTTTCTTCTCTTACGATGATCTGCAAATGACTTCTGTCATTTTAAAAAAATTCAGGTATTTCCTCTGTCACATGCATAGAAATGATTGACTTAAACTGACCATTCATCAGGCTGCCAGATTCATAATGTAAAAAATTGTACATCTGCATGATGTACTTAAAAGTCCAATAGAGAAAGTCGCCTAGCATTATTTCTATCAGAATTCTATTTCTAGTTTCAGTTTATTCTTGTAGGTTTTTAGAATCAGGACTATTGCAAGTAAAATACTATTGGAATTTTATCAGAGATTCCCTTAAAATTTTAAGATAATTTGGAAAAAAGATGACATCATAACAACATTCAGAGTCTCATATCAGTAGCACGAACTTGCCTCCATGTATTTCAATAATTTTTAGGCATATATTTCTGATTTTTAAAAGAAAATATAGGCCAAGTGTTGGGGATATAGCTCAGTTGGTAGAGTGCTTGCCTCACATGCACAAGGCTCTGTCTTCAACTGCCAGCACCACGATAAAAAAAAAATGTAATCATGTTCATTTCTTGTTGATAATATTGAGTGTATTTAAACTTTAATGCTGTTAAGAATGATGATCCCCAATATCATATCCACTATTGTGATTATTATCAGAAAGTGTTTTTTTGAGTTGATGAGGTGTCCTATAATTTTTCTGTACTTTCTTTTTATTTTGTGAAAATTATTGTAAAAATGTACTTTGATTAAATAATATCAATTTATAACACCTATCTTTTTAATATTTATTTTTTAGTTGTAGGTGAACACAATATCTTTATTTTATTTTTATGTGGTGCTGAGGTTCAAACCCACTGCCTCATGTGTGTTAGGCGAGCACTCTATCACTGAGCCACAACCCCATCCTGATAACACCTATTTTTTTTATTTGGTTTTATTTTATTGCTTTGAAATCCAAATCCTTGTTAAGGTTTTGTGTAAGATATGGAATTCTTTGTTTTGTCACATAATATGGTGCTCAACTCATATTAAGTGGTATGATATTTACTATGTAATTTTAATCCTGTTAGTGTGCATTGCTTATCCCTGCATACTTTTGAGGAACTGTTTAAAATTTTCATAAGAGTGTAATTACTTATTAGCTATCTGAAAAATATAATGTTGACTGCATTCTTCATGTTCCCATATAAATTTCAAGCCTTCAATGTGGAGCAAGAGACCAAAGCAGCTGCGTAATGAAAACACAATGTAATGATAAAGTAGACATCTACATGGGCATGAGTAATATCTAACATTAGAGGAACATTCTTAATTAACTAAAAATTATTTGTACAAGCAAAAAAACCCTTCACTAATCAGAACTTTATATTAAAAACATCTGAAGGAAAAAATGCTCAAGTTTAGAAAACTGCAAAAATATTCTATTTGGTTAGTCAAAGTGAATGTATTTCAATACTAGAGTCTCAGTTATAAATTAAGATTCATGTCTTGCTTGTAAAACGGTAGAAAGAGTCATAGGTTCATCAAAGGAAATGTAAAAAGGGTATTAAATGTTTGAAAAGATTTTCATTCTTACCATTAATTTATAAAAGTGTAATAAAAATAAGATTCCATTTTTGTGGAATTAATTGAGAAGGCCTTTTTCAAAAATAGTAACCATGCCAAATTCTGTGATGGGGAAAGGAAATAACATTTCAGGTGCTGATATGAGAGCATATTTAGTCCTCTTTTCTGGGCTGGAAAAATTAAATCAGCAATGAGCCATTTTATAAATTCTACAAGAGTCACCAGCATATGACCAGGGATCTCCTGGAGTAGTGATGTCATTTTTACTTCTTGGATTTGCTTCTTGGTGTGTCATATAAAAACTGCAAATGAATACATATGTCATCCATCCTTAAGAAATAGCAATTCCCCTTCTCGGTCTATTCCCTAAAGACCTAAAAAGAGCATGCTACAGGGACACTGCTACATCGATGTTCATAGCAGCACAATTCACAATAGCTAGACTGTGGAACCAACCTAGATGCCCTTCAATGGATGAATGGATAAAAAAAATGTGGCATTTATACACAATGGAGTATTACTCTGCATTAAAAAATGACAAAATCATAGAATTTACAGGGAAATGGATGGCATTAGAGCAGATTATGCTAAGTGAAGCTAGCCAATCCCTAAAAAACAAATGCCAAATGTCTTCTTTGATATAAGGAGAGTAACTAAGAACAGAGTAGGGTCGAAGAGCATGAGAAGAAAATTAACATTAAACAGGGATGAGAAGTGGGAGGGAAAGGGAGAGAGAAGGGAAATTGCATGGAAATGGAAGGAGACCCTCAGGGTTATACAAAAGTACATACAAGAGGAAGTGAGGGGAAAGGGAAAAATAATATAAGGGGGACAAACGAATGTCAGTAGAGGGGGCAGAGAGAGAAGAGGGGAGGGGAGGGGAGGGGAGGGGAGGGGGGATAGTAGAGGATAGGAAAGGCAGCAGAATACAGCAGACACTAGTATGGCAATATGTAAATCAATGGATGTGTAACTGATGTGATTCTGCAATCTGTACATGGGGTGAAAATGGGAGCTCATAACCCACTTGAATCAAATTGTGAAATATGATATATCAAGAACTATGTAATGTTTTGAACAGACAACAATAAAAAATTAAAAAAAAAAGAAATAGCAACTTTAAAACTTAAAATTATTGGAAATAAAAATACCACTAGGCAAAACTAAAGCAGCAAGGAGCATAAAATGAAGGTAAAAGCAGAGCTAGAGAACTAAAGAGGAGAAAGATCCTAGAATAAAAAACAAATTCCAGAACTAATTCTATAGCATCCATAACTAGAAAAAGTCAGACATGAAATGAAATGGATTAAAGGAGACAAGAGGAGGAAGGAGCAGGTGTGATATGGAGCAGTAAATTCCATGCATGTGTGATTTGTAAAATGACTTCAATATTATGTAAAACTACAATGTTCTAATAAACCCTTCAAAAGACTAAAAGTCAATTGAAATGTCTAGAATTTGGAATGAGGAAAATGAACACAGAGGTAAGGAAATGCTTGATCTTACAGGATAATATTTCTTACAACTCTTAAGTTGCAGTTTTTAATTCACAGTAAGTGCGTGGGGCTAGGGAAGAATCCATGTATGGAGATTAGATGGCGGGGAGTGATGACAGAGGAAGGGATCTGGAGGTAGGAAGGAGAGTAGAATGAGTTGGCCATAATTGTCCTATGAGTATATTTGATTACACCAGCTGTGTGATTCTCTATCTGTATAACCAGGAGAGTCAGCAGTTGTACTCCAATTCTGTATGATGTGTCAAAATGCATTCTACTGTCATGTATAACTAATTTGAAGAAAGAAAAAAATAAATAAAATGAATGAAAAAAAATATGTAGCTGTCTGAGAGTAGAACTTATTTCTGGAAATTGTCCAAAGTTGATGGAGAAAAACACATCAGAAACCAAAAGGAAAGAAGACAATAAATTACAAAACTTACCACCAAAAACGCTCTGGCAGGAACCTGAGGTGGGAGCAGAAGCAGAATTCTCCTTTAAGTGAAGAAGAAAACTAAGTTTCTCATCACTAATCATTTGTCAGAAGCCTGGAAGTGCAATCCAATGCAATAGAGGGAGAAAAAGTCATCAGAGACCTGAACATGGAAAAGGCAAGGTGTCCACTGGGGAATGATCTTGGCCAAATTCTATTGTTATACCGTGTGTATGTATGAATATGAACCAACAAATTCCACCTATGTACAACCAAAATGCATCAGTAAGAAAAAGGGAAGAGGCAAGGTGTGGTTTATGGAGGATGGAGTAGCTGCAGATGACAGATTGGTGGCTTCAGACCTATTGTAACCGGGTGTGATTTTACTAAGCCTGTTCACACAAACCCAATATGTAAAGAGGCCACTCCAGGTGGCAACGAGGAAAAAGGCACGTTGAGATCTTTGGCAAATATTGCTTCTCCCTCTCTAGTTGTGAATTTCC